CAGGAGGCCAAGTTCTTCCAGAATATCCTTACTCAGTTGCGACCGGAACCGGAGTATTTCCGGGTGGGATTCTACGGCATGGGTCTGCCGCTTTTTGTGCGGGTACGTAACTGCACTACCAAACTCCATCTGAGATCTTGGTAATGCTTATTATATTCTGAAATTACAGAACAAGCAGTTTGTCTATCGGGGACTGGAGTACGAGCGAATTGGTGCCTTCACACAGCGTCTGCAAACGGAGTTTCCCAGCGCCCAGATTCTGGGCAACAACAGTCCGCCGGACAGCGCCATCCTGAACGCTCCGGATCAGTACATACAGATTAGCAATGTGCGACCCGTCGGGGATGCGCAGGCCTTGAAGACGGCCATGGTGCCGGTGCCAGAGAAGATCGCCCGTTTCTATGAGGTCAACGATGTGACCCGGTTCATCTACGACCGACCCATGTACAAGGGAACCGTCGACAAGGACAACGAGTTCAAGTCGCTGTGGATTGAGCGTACCATCCTGGAGATCGCCAGTCCCCTGCCCGGAATCCTGCGCTGGTACGAGGTGAAGCAGAAGACCATGCAGGAGCTGACGCCGGTGGAGTACGCCTGCGAGATCATCAGCAATGCCGGCAAGGAGCTGTCCGAGCTGATTGTGCAGTACAAACGCGATCCGAAGAGGAACATCAATCCCTTCTCGATGCGTCTGCAGGGCACGATCGATGCCAATGTCATGGGCGGCATCAGCAAGTACCAGGAGGCCTTCTTCTCCGAGCAGTTCCTCAAGTCGCCGCAGGGTGCCGGCCAGCAGGCGAATGTGCAGCGCCTGAAGGCCCTGATCCTGGAGCAGATACAGATTCTGGAGCAGGCGCTGGAGCTGCATGGCCAGCTGGCGCCCAGCGGAGTGCAGCCACTGCACAATCGACTCCTCGAGCGCTTTACGCAGCTGAAACAGAGCCTGTCCGGCATGGGCAGGCTGAAGAGACAGCACTCGGAGAGCATTGTGAACACGCCGCTGCCACCGTTGCCCACGGAGCAGCGAGTGGCGCAGGCCACCACCGCCTGCTCCAGCTCGAATGCCAATGCCCACGCCAACTATGTCTACGATCTGGACGAGATCTACACGAGACCGGGCGACACAGTGCGACCCGTGGACCCACTCAACTCCTATCAAACGCTGAGCAAAGAGAGCCTCACTATTCCGCTGGAGGACACTGCTGCTCCGCCAGTGCCAAATCGACCGCGTTCGCAAAACTTTATGGCTAACGGAGCCATGGACAGTCCGGAGGTGCCGCCCAAACGGCAGCCAGCTGTAAACTCACCCAACGCTCCGCCGCTGCCACCGCGTGGAATAACGCCGGATAAGCGGGCCTCGAATCCGATGATCTTTAATGACTTTGGCGGCGCCGATGCCGCCGTGGGCCGACGTCACTCCCAGCAGCAGCAGCAGCAGCATGGCCAGAAATACTCCGTGGTGGACATCAGCTACGACGATCCCGAGGCCGATCAGCAGCCGCACTCGCTGCCGCCGAACTTCCAGGACGGCAGTGGGGGTCACCTGAGCGTCTGCTTTGCGCCCAATGACTTCCGCGACTCGGGCATCTCGACAACCAGCTCCAGGGAGCTGAACCACATGAATCTCAACAACCTGAGCGAAGACTCATCGTCGATCTCGGCCGTCACAGTGCAGCATCGGGAGCACTGTCGCATCAGCAGCAACGGCAGCTTGGACTACAACGCCAGTGCATCGATGAACATCACACAGCGCGAGAGTTCGACGAGCTCGTTCGACGTGGAGGACTTCCCGGTACCACCGCCGCCCATTCCGCCCAAATCCTTGGCCATATCCAGCAATGGGGTCACCATGGGCGGCGATGAGGCCCACTCACCGCATCCCAGCTCACAAGCGCACACCACACAACTCAATCACAGTCAGAATCAAATTCAAAATCATTCCACAAACAGTCACCATCATCTCGTCCAGCAGCAGCAGCAGCAGAATGGAGATGGCGATGGTTACAGCTTGCTGCAGCACCAGGTCAACGGGTTGGGCCTAGCCACTCATCCGCCACTGCCTGCTGCTGCTGCTGCTGCTGCTGAAGTCGCTCTACCACCGGCATCTGCAATAGCCTCATCCTCATCTAGTCATCAGCACGATGGCGGCACTTTTTGAGTTACAATATGTCGCTGCCATCATCCACCCGATCAACCACATCAGCCACACAAGCCATCCTCATCCACGTCGACGTCGGACAGCGCGGCCACCGAAACGGCCTCGGAGTCCACGGACTCCAGTTCGTCCAGCCACTCGATGACGCCTCCTCCGCCGCCGCCGCCGCCATCCTGCTACAGCCAGTTCCATCAGCAGGTGGCCAGTGCGCCCCATTACTGCCAGGACTGCCTCTCCTCGCCGTCGCCACCGCCCACAATCATCACAGAGCAGGCCCAGGTGCATGCCACGCCGGGATTGACAGCACCCCAGTCCCAATACCAGTCACAGTCGCACATCGAACACTGCTCGTGCGGCCTGAGCTTCTCGGTGGGACAGGATCAGCAGGAGCAGCTGGGCCCCAGGCTGCTCGCCTCGAGGTTCTCCACGCTGGAGCGGCAGTCGCAGGGCTTCCAGGTGGAGCAGGTGTCCGGCTGCCAGCATCATTACCACCACCAGCAGAGTGGCCTTTATCACCTCCCCCAAGGCAGTCAGGATGCACATGCTCAGACGGATTTCTCCTATGCGCAGCGCTAAAAGATTGAGCCATAGACCCATTGAGAGTGAGATTGAAGATCGCTTAGCTTATACGAGTATTATGTTTTACTATGTTTTTTAAAATGCTCTCCATGGAACCCAAGTTCGTTCGATCGAGAACGGTTTTTTTTTTACTTCTATTATTTTTGGTGCCAAATTTTTGCTGCAAGTCCAAAGCGCAATATAAACAAATGTTGTAATGAAATAGGTTGCTTATACAATTTTATTATGCATAATTTTAATATTACCTTATTTTTATATTTATATTTATATACGGGGAATTGTCGCTAAAGTTACTAAGAAGAATAATAAGAGATAAGAGAATAAAGATGAACACACTTTTATAACGAAAGAGAATATCAAAAATGAAAACCAAAACACAGAACTCTAATCAAAATAAGTCAACGCAAAATATATACACTGAAAACAAAGCAGGACACCGACAAAATGTGCAATGCAGTTTTTACTTTAACGAACATATTTACATAAATATAGACATACACACACGACTACTACATATACATATGCGAAGAGCAATTAGGAATTTTAAAGTGCTACTAGCTTCATAACAAATCAAATAAGTTTTCCATTTTTGTAAATTTTTTAAATAAACTTATTTATATAGAGACTTCTTATATGTATGTATCTGCATATACTTCAAAAACGCGCATCAATCAAAAGCGTTAAACTCGTATATAAACTAATCATAAACTAAAACTAGTCAACAACTCGAATAAACAATGATTATTACGAAAGAAAAGTATAAAACATATTGTCTATAAATGCATGGCGCGAATATAAGAATTTACTAAAGAATTTAATAAACTATAAACGAATAAACATTTTCGTCTTAATTTGGGATTCAAATTGAGTCGGGGCTGCCAACCTTGTTTCCTCAGGGATGGACATTTTTTTAGCCAAACGACCTCTGGCGGAAATATAACGCCACCTACCGGTTAATAAGGGGACTCCCAGTTTAAAATTAAAAGACGTTACGAGTGCTTTCGTTTGCTCATTAAATACACTTTTAATGTTTATTAACCTTCTCAGAAAATCATTTTACATTATTCGTATAATTGTCACTTACGTCTAGCAGCAACTTTAAACTTAAAGCATTGAGTCTGCCTATAATTATTGCTTTGTTTGTTTGAATTAGTTTGTTAGCTTACGTTTCACTTGTTAGATTTGTTCTCTCTCTTTCGTTCAAGGGGTGGTGTAAATTATTGACACTACTAAAACGCTTTGCTAGGATTAAAACAGACCGACGTCCGAAAGTTTGCTATCGTTTAGTTAAGTTGGTTGTATACCAGCCCTAATGCTTAACACCTAGGGTACTCGTACTTGTAGTAAATATTGCGGTTTCTAATAATATTCAATACTCGGGGAGCTCAATAAATACTTGAGGTTAATGTTGCGCAATCAATTGACATAAATGATATAAACCCAATTCATATCAAACTCTAGTACGTATGTACATATGTACGTGATTCGTTGCAGTAGCGACGCGCCAGAAGAAGATTGTTTTGGTTTCACACTTGTCCAACTTGAATACCGGTTTCTAACTACTGGCACACAACAGCAACAACTGAGTGGTTGAGTATCGTTCACAAATATGCACAGATTGGAGCATTAACTAGGCTTACACTACCACTAGCTTGCCAAAATTAACAATTTGCATATCTAAAAAGTTCAACTAGGAAGAGATTAGCTTATAGGTGTTCTTATTGTAGAATTTTCGACGAGGTACAAAGTTATACATTCGAGTACTTGAAAATAAGATGTGTTGTCGTAAGCACAATGAGGTACATGTGTATCAACATCATTCAAATCATCATTACAATTACTCATTACCCATTACTCATTACTCAATACTTATTACCCTTTACGTTGCCACATCGCAACTGTATACTCAAGAGTTTAGCGTGAAAATCCGAAGACTTGGTTCCGAAAACCCTCCTGCCTATTGACTGACTATTGTTCGTCTCGTCTCAGTAATTAAATAACCTTAATGCTTAATACCACAGTCGAAGTATGTACTATATGTAAATACACACATACAGTTCATATATGTATGGCCTATACCTACACCTAGATATACATATGTATATTGTTACTACAACAGCTCTCTTATACACGGTATATTCAAGTAGCGTTCGTCGTCGTCCTCCGTCTTCTCAATGTCTCAATTGATGACTAGTCTCATCTAGTCTCATCTAGTCGCATCTAATCTCATCCGGGGATTTGGGCCTGCCTCCGCCGCCAGGCGATGGGAGCGATCAGGGCGCGGATCAAGTGCCTTCGGGCACGCCTCTTGGCCAGGATTATCCACGGCAAGGGCAGCAGCACCAGCGGCAGCAGCCAATAAGCGGGTCATAGCTCCACGTGCCCCAGAGCCTGCTCCGTGGCGTTGGCGGCCGTGTGGCAGGTCTGCGTCGACATCCACTCGAAGTCCTTGATGGTGGCCTAGGGCAAATCGCAATTAAGTTTTAGTAAGATTATATTATGGCTATGACAGAACTTAAAAACTTCTTTATAAGAGAAGCCACAGAAATCATTAGTGTTTGAAAATAACATTCAAAGGTGTCTAAAAGAAACATTATATTTTTAAACAGGAAGTTGAAGAACTTCATTTAACAAGATGATATCAAATTTGCACTTTTTTAACCAAAAGTCTTTACAAGCAAATACAAAATATTTTTAATATAATTACCGAACCTGTATACACAATTTGGCTAGTTTAACATGGTAATTGCTCCTCGTTTAAAACCAAACTAAACCAACTAAAATCTGATTTAAAACTGGCTTTTACGATAAGAGTTATTCAAATTGTTATCACAGTCCTTAAACTGCACTTATATAACTAATTTCGGAACTGTATTTAAATCCAATTTAAGATATCGCATTTGGGTCCTATTTTAAATACAATGTTTTATTTTAAATATTTAAATATTAATCATGCCATTTAATATGCATTGTGTTTTAAATAAGGATTTTATATTTAATTTAAATATGAATTAGAATGTTTTGAATTCAATAGTCAGATATTTAACTTTAACATTCCAATTTTATTCGGTGTAATTTTGAATTAAGGTTCTTGAACCCACCTTGTGCATGGAGTAAACTGCCACCACGACCAGCACGTGCATAATGTTGTGGGAGTTCAGATAGAAGTCGACCACTCCTGGGAACCACTTCTCGGGGATCCGCATCGCTCCGATGGCCCCGCCCAGTATGGAGACGCCGTCCTAGAACAGAGGGTTATTTAGGAGGTTAGCAGATTGATGGGGGCTGGCGGATATTGTGTTCTCTGACCGCCAGAAAAATTGGTTAGCGGCTCTGTCCATTTACTCGAATGTACATTTGTATGAAAATGTGACTTACAACTTCAACCTATGCGCACCGAGAGAGGCCAGCCAAAAACGTTTAGTTATAGAAAATAGCAGTTAGTCAATCGGAAAGCCTGGACATACGCACCTGCAGGTAGACATGGGAAAGGGCCATGTGGCTGCCGCCCACCATTCCTCGGATGCGCAGGAAGGTCAGGATGGAGCGCATGCCAAAGGGCAAGGCGAAGCACAAACGCCGCTGCCAGGGCGAACTGGCCGTCAGAGCCTGGAGAGGATTGGTGGGGATGGGAGTTAAGTCGAATCAAGTCCCGATTCTGCAAGATTCTCACCTTGTAGAGGCCCCACAGCGAGAGCACGCAATAGGAGACAATGATCAGCCACTTGAGCACCGGCGGGAAACACAAGGTGGTGGCCGTGACCAGGGGCAGGGCACCTGAAAACAACAACAAAAAAACAGAGAGCGGAAGAGATGATAGTGGTCATCCCGCAGCTAGCATACACACACACACACACACACAATCTGCCCATTATCGATAAGGCAGCCGGCTCAGTCGGAAAACAAAGCTCGATCGCGATGGAGGGCCTGCCGCCTTCCGCTTGCCTAATCTTTATCACCTTGGCCGTTACCATCAGCTCCACATATGCCATCCAGGGCGGAGTCTTCAAGGAGCTAACGACGCCCCTGGGTCAGCAGATCATGCGGCTGGCCAAGTCCGCTGAGATGCGCTCCTTCATGGACAGCAATGTGAGACCCTGCGAGGATTTCTACGGCTATGCCTGCGGCAACTATGCGGCGATAAACGCAGCCACCTGGGAGAAGGACACCGACATTGGTCGGCTTATGTTCGCCAGTTACCTTCGGCGGGTGAGGCAGTTGCTCAACCAGCCCCGCATGAGCACGGATCGGCCCATGGAGGTGCGCGTCAAGTACTTCTACGAGTCCTGCCTGGACACGGCGGCCCTAAGGGCGAACCAGCGCAGCCATCTACTGAGTGTCTTGAGGGAATTGGGCGGCATGCCCGCGGTGGAGGGCAAGTCCTGGAACGATGTCGGTTTCGATGCCCTCGAGACGATGGCCCAGCTGCTGCGCCGCTACGGAAAGACCACACTACTGGGTGTCACCGTGTCTCCGGACTTCACCAACTCGCAGATCAAGCGCCTGTACCTGGGCCAGAGAGACGACCTGATGGAGCGCGACTGGTCCGCGGGTCTGGCCAAAAAGCAGGAGCTCAAGCAGCGTTTGCAGAACCTCCTGGGCTTGTCGCAGGAGCTGGCTGGCAAGACTGCCGAAGAGATCATCGAACTGGAGGCGGAGCTAGCGCACAGTGTTCTCGACCGCCGAATGGATCGCGATCCGAGACTCAGGAACCGCCTGACCATGCTGTCCAACATGAGCGATGTCTATGGACCCGTTCTCAATGTGACTAGCTTTGTGACCTCCTGGTTGGGCCACGATTACATTGTACCCGTTTACGAGCATGTGCCCAGCTATCTGTTCCAGGTGAAGAAGCTCCTGTTGGGCACTCCCAACCATGTGCTGGCCAACTACATGCTGTCCACTCTGCTCACCGACTTTGAGATCCGGGCGAGTGACGGCCAGCAGGAGGAGATCTGTGCCCAGCGGATGGCTCAGCTCTTTCCCGATGTCTTGGATCACATGGTGTACCTCTCACTGGAGCAACAGAGTCCGCACATAGCCAACGAGTTGAGGAACCTGTGGCTGGAACTGAAGACCTCGTTCCGAGAGATACTCAGTTCTCCTGATCTCGAATGGCTGGACGAAACGACGCGAGCGGAATTGCTCGAAAAGCTCAGGCTCATGTCCTTCGAGATAGCTGGCGGCCAAGCCGTGGACTTCGAGGAGCGGTACGGTGCTCTGGTGGTCAGCTCTGCCGATTACTATGGCAACGTGCAGCGCCTGCTGGAAGTGCAGGCGAGCAATCTCCGCACGGATTTGATGAAGGAATCCCGGAGCCTAAGCTACTACGACGGCGTCATCGAGTCTCCATTCTATGCTACGGAAATCAATCTGGTAGTGCTGCCGGCTAGCTACATGCAGCATCGCTACTTCTGGGACGACGTCTATCCGGCTGCTCTCAAGTACGGCACACTGGGTTTGTTCCTAGGTCACGAGATGGCCCATGGATTCGATGATCTGAACCGGCTCTTCGACAGCAAGGGCAACTTGAACGAGTACTGGAGCAGCCAGGCCAAGATGGGCTTTGAGTCCGTGAAGAGTTGCCTGTCGGATCAGTTCGCTAAGATGCGGTACGACAGCAAGATCTTGCCCAGGCTGGAGTCGCAGGGCGAGAGTATAGCAGACAATGTGGGCATTCGCATTGCACAGGCGGCGTACAGGAAGTGGCTGGAGCAGCTGAGGACCCAGGACACGGAAACCCTGCCCCATATGTCGCAATCTCCGGAGCAGCTCTTCTACCTCAGCGTGGCCCAGTCTATGTGCTCGGATATTTGGCTCGAACGGCGGTCAGCCTTCATGCGGAACAGTGTCCATCCGCCGAACGAGTCCCGGGTCCTTGCCATGCTGGCCAATTCGCCAGCCTTCGCCGAGGCCTTTCAGTGCAGCAACAAGACCAAAATGAATCCCCCAACCAGATGCTTGGTGTATTGATATACCCCTCGTCTAGCTGATTGCGCGATATGTGTGTGTATATATTATATTAAATAGTTCCGCTTCCGATTAGAGCTTGCGTTTCATTGTACAATTAACGCGATCGTACTCACCGAAGCTCTGGCTCACCCAGATGCCCACCATGTCCAACTTGAGCAGCGTGTAGTAGACGTTCTCGCCCTTCTCGATGTTCATGAACAGATGGTAGACGAAGCTTCCGCACCAGGGAGCCACCGATCCAAAGACGTGACAGAACGACAGAAACTTGTAGCCACTGTCCCAGGGCATCAGTCCCGGCACAATCGCCAGGATGTAGAAGATGGGTATGGCTGAAATGGCAAGGACAAATATATTTAATTAGCTATATTTAATTAATCTAAGGCACGAGGAGAATTTCTACTCATATCAGTACCAACCAAATTTGTGGTCAAATGTTAAGATAAACAGATAGACAAGTCAGTAGAACTTCCATACATAGGTCAAAGTTCTCTTATTTTAGATCTCTAAGAACAAAAGTGTGCTATATATTAAAAGTTGCGTAATCTCAAAAGGTAAAAGGACTCATAGTTAGAAAAAAATCGCTATAATGCGAAGACAGAAACTTAATTTTAGCTATAATTTCTTAAATATTTTACTTGGAGAATTAATTTTTGGGAAAAGTAAAAACCCCTTAAAAATATCTTTCCGCAAAAAAAAAAAATCCTTAAAGAGTTCCAAATATTACAAAATTAGTTCTCTAAATATGGTAATTAAAACTGGAAGATTTTAAGAATTAATATAGATAAGCGAGATTTGATATTAGTCCGAAATGTACCAGACTGGTACTCTTATAATAGCCACTGTATCAGACTTGAAGAAATCGTATAAGAGCCGACGGAATTGGCGTCCTCTGCCGCTTAGGAGATAACAGTTTGACCCACCCCAGCACTCTGGACATCGTATAAACAAATCCCGCTGATAAGGTGGCCGTCACCGATCGGGAGCGATCGCAAATTAGTTGACTTTAACGCGAGATCATGACGAGTCGGGTGCTGTGGCTCTGCCTGTTTTGGGCTGTAGTTGCTCCAATTTTGGCCAAGCCATCGGATGTGGACGACCCCTTTGCCGAGGACTTGACCTCGGAGTACGCCAAGCAAATCATCCGCCAGGCGAAATTGGCCGAAATCAAGACCATGACGAAGCCGGAGATAGCGCCCTGCGATGATTTCTATACGCATGCCTGCGGAAACTGGCATCGCCACAATCCCGCCCAGCTATTTAGTGACCTCATGACCGACAAGTTCCAACTAATATCGAAAGGATTTGATCGGCGTCTCCAGCGTTTGCTGCGTTCCAACGAGCTGAAATCCGAGCTGGAGAAGAAGATGCAGCGTTTCTATCTATCCTGTACCCTGGCGCATCGCGACGATGTCCACTACAAGCTGGCCCTGGAGAACGTTATCCGGGAGTACGGAGAACTGCCCGCTTTGGCTGGCACCCAATGGAACTCCTCCGATTTCAGCTGGTGGCGAACGGTGGCCCAGATTCAGCACAAGTACGGCAAGCAAATCATCCTGGGCCTGGAAATAATGCAGGATATACGTAACAAGTCGATAAATCGCGTGTATCTCAGTCCGGCAGACGCAAAACAGACAGGAAGTCGTATATTAAATCTCCTACTAGAGTCTAGTACCTCCGCGGATCTGCAACAATTCTTCGGTCTTAGTCCGTCCGCGGCGAGGCACACAGCGCAGCAGCTTCTCGAATTGCAGAAAAGCCTTTCAGCCGGATCTTCCAGCCCAGGCTCTCTGGAAGATGGCCTCTCACTCTACACGCTGGCCGATCTTCAAGAGAAGTACAGCGACCAACTGAACTTCACCGAATTCCTGAGCCTGATCCTTGGTGGGGAGAACGTTCCGGAGGCCCTGTACATCAATGATGAGGAGTTCCTGGACAATGCGCTTCTCACAATGCGCAGCACACCGCTGGCTATGCAGGCCAACTTCGTACTGTGGACCCTGTTGGAGGACTACCTGGTGCCCAACGGCCCCAGCGACATGACCAAGTATTGCACCGAGAGCACCAAGAAGTACTTTGGCCAGCTGGCCCAGCACGTTGTGTACGAGCGATACCGCAGCGTGGAGGCGGAAGCGGAGGTTTTCAATATCTGGCAGCAGATCAGGGGCATCTTCAGGCAGCAACTGATGGGCGACAAATTCGACTGGATTTCCAATGCGACCAGGCAGCTGGCCATCGAGAAGTTGGACCGCATGCAGCTGAACATAAACTCCTACGACTCGGAGAACTTCGAGGAGCTCTTCGGTGGGGTCACCATCGATCGGGTCAATTACGTGCCGAATATCCAGCAGCTGCTCATTGCGAAGGGCAGGCGATATCTGGAGAGGATTAGAGAGCTTCCCGCCGCCTTGGAGGACACAGAGCTGCTCGGCTTTACACCCGCCTATAATGTGATGGAAAACAACATATCGATTCCGGTGGCTCTGCTGCAGCCACGCTACTTCTGGGCTGACCAGTATCCGGAGGCGCTGAAATACGCCACATTGGGCTACCTGCTCGCCCACGAGATGCTCCACGGCTTCGACGACGATGGCCGGAAATACGATGCGGCCGGCAACCTGGCCCCGTGGTGGGACTCCAAGTCGCGTTATGAGTTCGATGAGCGACGCAAGTGCTTCCAGGCCCAGTACCACCAGTACGAGTACGGCGGATTGCATCTGCCGGAGAGCGAGGGGCAGTCGGAAAACATTGCGGACAATGGAGGCGTAAAGCTGGCCTACGCCGCCTATGAGCGCTGGCTGGGGCAACAGACGGAGGAAGTGCGTCAACGAGAGACCATGGCGGGTCTGTCCTATGACAGTCGCCAGCTCTTCTTCGTGGGATACGCCCAGTTGTGGTGCGACGATGTCCAGTCGCTCTTCAAGTCCACAGTTGCCCAGGGCGACAATCATGCACCGAGCAAGTACCGGGTGGTTGGCACACTGTCCAACTTCCAGGAGTTCTCCTGGGTCTTCAACTGTTCACAATCGGCGCCCATGGATCCGGAGTACAAGTGCGCAATCTACTGAAGAACCCTCGAGTTCTAACTACTGAACTTTGTTTTCAATCAGTTTAATCTTTTCAACTCGACTATCTTTAAATGTAATTAATGTTGTTAAGTTGAACATTACTGAGACTGTTGTACATTCATCTTCAGGGAAATGCTATCAATAAACCAATAAACTAATATCAAACCAATATCAGTTTGCTTTTGGGCCATCAAAACGACAATAATTCGCATCAGAATGTTTAGGATTGTAATTAATTGATTCTGGCATAAATACTTGCATCAGAAATAAAATGATCAGCAAAGTATAATCAAAAATCAATCAAAAATAAAGGACTATATATTAGGAAAAATAAACCATACATATAAAGTCAATAAGTGTCCTTTAACCCTTTTTTGTTAATTTTTTCTCAATTTCAAGACATTTTGGTTAATTTAGGTAATTTTTATACTTTTTCTGAGTATAGAATGGCTGGCTAATGGTAATTAAAAATATGTGTAAAAAATAAATTACTGGCTTTTACAATTAGAACTTAAGACCGGTTCAAATCAATTAGTTTTTAGAATTCCAATTACCAATACAATATTCAGAGATAGTATTTATTATGGTACAATTTAAGTGAAAATGTTAATCCAGGTTCACGGAGAACAGTTGGCACTTCTCAGGCTGGGTCATAAGGCTTCCTTGTCCGCAGTTGAAGTCCCGTTCAAAGGCCTTGAAGTTGGATAGTGCGCCCAGCACCCGGAGCGCATTGGGTGTCCGTAACTGGAGCAGGGATTGCTTGTCCCGGAACTGTTCGTTGGCATCGTTGCACCACAGCTGGCCAAAACTGAGGAAGAACAGTCTGCGCGAACTAAGACCAAGTTGTGGCAGTGACTCCGAGCCCAGGAAGGATGGATCCAGAGTGGCTAGGTAACTTCTGTAGGCGTGGTAGGCCACCTGGATGCCCAGATTGTCGGCAATGTTCTCCGCCTGCAGATCACTCTCGGGCAGGTAGTGTCCGTTGAGTCGCAGGCGACCGTATTGCTCCTTGAAGCAGGCCTTCCGCTTCGAGTACTCGGCAAACGACTTGGCGTCCCACTTGGAGGCATCCTCCAGACTGTGCGCCAGTTGCTGGGCGAGCAGGGTGCCCAGGCTGCCGTAACGCACGGCTATCGGATAGAAGCGGGACCACAGGAAGTTCGGCTGGAGCAGGACCACCGGCAGCAGGACTCTCTTCCCCACCGGGTCATAGACGGCAGACGTCTGAGTCCGTTCCTTGACACTCAAGCTCTGATGGTTGAGTATGGCCCTCAGATTGTGAAGATAGTCCAGCGGCTTTAGCTGCAGTCCCCCATACCGCTCCGTGAAGTTGACATCGGTGTAGCCCTTGACCTCTAGACTGGTGCTGTTCAACTGCTCCAGCAGTTGTTCTCGTGTCTCCAAAACCAACCAGTCGGCTGATGAGTTTTCAAGGGCACCTCGAAAGCTCTGCTGGATCTGCTGCCAGATGGCCTCAATGTCACCGAGCGTGGCTGCATCGCCATACTGCTCGAACACCATGTTGTCGAGGAGATCGGGGAACAGATCTCTAACCCGGCTCACACATTGCTCCACCACGGAGCCCGATCGCTCGTAGTAAAAGTGCTGCAGTAGCTCATTGAAAATGTAGTTGGCCAACACCTCGGGTGGTGTTTCCGACACCAAGTCAAACAAGGCCATCGAATAGCTGGGCACATGCTCGTAGAGAGTCTCGTCGCCAAGGATGGTTTCCAGGACGGTTTCCACATACTGGGTAAGATTGGAGTAATCAAATTTATATGTATCCGACTCATTGGAGGTGCGCAACTGGGACAGAACACCAATTCGACGATTCAGCATAATGCTGGCAATGCGTTGCTCCAAATCCGTGATCTCCCGGGCCGTTGTCTTGGCCAGCTTTGGATCCACGCCCAAGTGGCGCTCCAGGCGATCGGCTATGGCATCAGCCACGTCCCGTCTATTGGCCTCCGGCAGAATCTGCTTCGGCTGACCCACGTAGATGTGATGGCCAGACGACTGAAAGAGCAGCAGGATATCAAAGCCGTACTTTCTTTTGATCCGGGCCACGGTGTCCAGCCAATCGAACTCCTCGGCTGGCCATTCCTGACCCGGCAGACTAAGGACAGGCATGCGTCCGAATTCGGCCACAATTTCCTGCAGCTGACGGCGATAGAGATCCTCTGGTGTTTGGCGGAACATCAGGCAGCTGGCATAGAACTGTTTGAGCCACAGCACGGCCACCTCGTCCGTTTCCTCGTTCGCCGGCTGCTCCATCAGACGCTGCTGTTTGTGGCGATAGGCCTTGAACAGCAGCTGTTCCAAGTTGGTCTCCCGCGGATGGGCATCGTTGGCCGGATTGATCTGGGGCCAATTGCCGCAGCTGTAGTCGTAGAAATTGCCGCAGGCCTCCGCACCCGGCTGCATGTAGCTGCGCATCTCGGCCGACTTGGCCAGGCGCATCAATCGCTGCAAGTAGGCGGTGTCGTTGCTCTGTGAGATCAACTGTTCCTGGGCCTGGATGTGCAGGTCAATGGCCGGCTGACCCTGCAGCAGGTGACCTCGACCACTCCCCACTGACAGCAGTGGCAGTAGCGCCATCACCAATGCGATACCAATGTTCTCCATGGCGAACACTCCGAAGGCGACTGAACGGGCAGCTTAAAGCGACGCACTTCCGCACCTACACTCACTGACTGAGATTGAGATTAAGCCACACCGCAAAAAAAACTGACCTCTTCTCTTTGATCACGTTATCTAATGTCTTATCTTATTACAGGACTTTCACCAAAAATTACAAAACTCTTTCCATTTAATAGGCTGGCAAAACTTACATTAAGTAATTACTTTGAGAACTTTCTAAAACACATCTTAATACATTTTTAACTTACAGTTTTGTTATTTAATGCCGAAAAAACCGATTTTTTCAGAACTTTTTCAGAGATAACTTTTAAATTTATTGTTTTAAAAAATGGTATCTATTAACTGTATTTTTAAGTAAAAATATTTATTTGGAAAAGAAGAGAGCTCCGAAAACTCCTATAAAGAAAAAAAATCGTTTCTTATTGGGGCCTATCAATAAGTTTAAACTGAAAACCATTATTTGTTATTTATTATACCATACCAAACCCATTTTGAAATTGTTTTCAGTGTACAGAGGGAATGGAAGTGGGAACGGAGCCAAAGCTCTGCCTTATCATCCGCTCGGTCGTTGGTTCCATATTTCTAGCCAAAGTTAGAGGGGAGTGCGTGATTGAAAAACAGCTCACGTTGTAGCGCTTTAGCTGGGAAAATGCTGAAAGCATTTCAACGTTGCTGGTAATTAGTATAGACGAATTAAATGTTTTATTTTGCATTTTATTGTAGTTGGTAGCATTTCAAAGCAGTGACCGTACCCATCGGAAGTTATATTTAAAAAATAAACACAAGAATAATTATTATTTTAGGCCAATAAAATAAATATCAAACCCAAAAATAATAATTATATATACAACAATAAGTTGACATGAATCATCATAGCAGCTACATACATCCTTCTTTTTTAATTTTAGTTAAGTTAAAACACTACAATACAACTGCAAAGTAAAAAGTAGACACTGAGCAGAAGTAATTATTCAATATCATATGCGTTAAATTTTGACCTTATGATAAAAAATATTTTCAACAATATTTAACAATAAATTTAAGGCAAAATATACAACATAAATGGTATCGGACATCATTAAGCAGATAATTGTGGTTAGGAAATTAGGACTCTTCTTAGAAACCATAAAATCGAATTGCACCGATTTTGACGTGCATCAACAGAACAACAGAAGTTAAAGTGCACAATTTCAATATTTGTACTAAACATAATTAAGTTCCTATAACTATACCTATCACTATCACTAATTGCGATCGTAAAGAAGAGCGGAACAGAGACTTTGCGATAGCCTCGGGGTCGACTTTCGTTTTTTTCGGCATCTGGAGTTGAATGGTAATAGGAAGGCAGTCGGTCACTGAAATTTAAACGAAATACAACGCGATGCTATTACTCTACTTTTGCCTTCTAGGCCATGTGCTCAGTGGCCTTTCCTGGGCGGCCCCTGCCGGAGAGGATGATCTCAACCAGGACACCCCGTACATCAAGGAACTTCTGCGACACGCCAAGGCTGCCGAGATAGAGAGCTTCATGGACCAGAAGGCCGATCCGTGCAACGACTTCTACTCTTTTGCCTGTGGCAACTACAAACGCATAAACTCAGCAGAAAACCTGAATGTAAGCGCGACGGGTCTTTTGTATACTGTGCTCGAAGGTCTGGATCGTAAGGTTTTGAAGATGCTCACCACTGTCAACGATACCCACGAAACTCCGGAGGACATTCAGGTGAAGCACTTCTACAAGTCCTGCCTTCGGATCAAGGAGCTCAACGCCACGTACACAGAGAGGCTGAAGCAGCTGATCGCCGAGTTCGGAACAATGCCGGTGCTGGAAGGGTCCTCCTGGCAGGAGGAAGACTTCGACTGGCTGGGGACCACGGCGCGCATCGCGTTCCGCTACGGAGTAAGGTCTGTTTTCACGGCAGAGGTAAACACAGACTTGGCCAACAACCAGATGAACCGCATCTACGTGGGTGAGCAGAACTTCCCGCTTGAGACGAGGTCCATGTACATGGATAACGCAACGGCCATTTACCGTGAGGACTATCGTAATAACATCCAGCGCGTTCTGCACCGATTTTTGGGTGTGGAGCAGAAACTGGCCAAGCAAACGGCCAGGGAAATAGTGGACTTCGAGGTGGACCTTGCCCAAGGACTGGTGGACCAGAGCGAAGGTTTCGACTTCAGTGAACTGACCGAGCTGCTGACTGTGAGCGAGGTCCAAGAGCGGTATTCCCCCACTTTGGACGTAGACCGATTGATATTTGTGAGCCTAGGGGAGAGAGTCTCTGACACGATCTACGAGTACAACGAACGCTATCAGCAAAATCTTGTCAAAGTCATTAAGCGAACACCTAAGCGCACCATGGCCAACTATATCTTCTACAATCTGGTCAAGCATTTTGTGAAGACGCCAGCCGACAAGACGAAGAAGCAAAAACGGGATTGCTTGGACGTCACCAAGGAGTTCTTTTTCAAGAACCTCGACAACATGTTCTACCGTCGCTACAACAACGAGAAGTCTTCGAGAGCAATCAAAGACATGTGGCGCCAACTGAAAGCCACCTTTAATGAGACACTGCACACGAGTCCGGCACTGGACTGGATCGAGCGACCCACCAGGAATTTGGCCATCGCCAAGCTGCAGGCCATGAGGCTGCAGGTGAGCAACTACGCCGAGGTTAACTTCACTGAAGAGTTCGCCAATCTGGATCTGCAGAGTGCCGACTACGTGGAGAATGTTCGACAGATCATGCTGGAAGAGGCGAGGCGAAGCCGCGAGTTGCTTCGCAAGCCGGCCAAGCCGCTGGAAACGGACGAATCTGCCAGCTTTACGCCGGCCAACGCTCTGACTGAGAACATAATCAAAATGCCGGTGGCAATGCTGCAGCCCTTTTATATCTGGGCTGATGGCTACCCCAATTCCGTGATGTTCGGCAACTTGGCCTCGCTAATTGGACACGAGCTGATCCACGGGTTCGACGACAGTGGTCGAAAGTTCGATGCCAAGGGAAACTCCAATGACTGGTGGGACGAGAAGTCCAGCAGGAACTTCTTGAAGCGAAGGGATTGCTTCACCAAGCAATATGGAAAATACGTTTTCGATGGCATTCAGCTCAAGGAGTCCTTATTGCAGGCGGAGAACATTGCCGACAATGGGGGAATGCGTCTGGCCTACACGGCTTACAGGACGTGGTACGAATCCCAACTGACGCTTCCCAATGGCCGCTTGAATTTGGCCAACGAGTTGTTACCCAAACTGCAGTACAGCGCTAATCAGCTATTTTTCATCAGTTTTGCGCAGTCCTTTTGCCAGGACGTGGATCCCAAGTTGAAGGCTTTTCAGGTGTTTAGCGATACACACGTGCCCGATGAGCTTCGCGTCATAGGAACGCTATCAAATCATGATGAATTCTCCAAGGAGTTCAACTGTCCTTCTGGATCCCACATGAATCCCGTCCAAAAGTGCATTATTTACTAGAAACGAGCTGCTTTTGTAAATGTTTCATAATACAAGAAAGGTTTTAAAACTAATTAAATAAAGTTATAATTACAGTGTGCTTAAAACAATTATGTCCAAATGTTTAATTCAACCAGAACGTTAAACAAAAAAAGGCATTCAATTGACAACTAAGCTGATTTACCTTTATCAGTACATTTAAAACTTCTGCCATTTAAAAAAAATAATACCTGTTTTCCTAAAAATTGACTAGAAATGTTTTAATTAGAGAAGTGGGCTGCGTGTGTCAAAAAGATTTCGAGTCAATAATTTATTTTTCACTTGCCTTATTTAAGCTTAGCATGTTAATAATAATTGTTAAACACAGTGTATGTTATTTTACAAACTCGGTTTTAACGCGAGTTTCTTTTAATGTAAAATGCCCATTAATTTTTTAACAGGCACGTCATGGAAGATTAATAAACTACCTAAACATCAATTATTCAATTTTCAGTACTCAATAATTTTGTTCACGACAATGAACAAATTATAAAACCCTATACTCTGGCAAAAACACAAATGTATGCATATACGTATATTGCATATATAGATAAGTACAATTTGTAATTTAAAGTCAATGTGTTTCGGAGTAATGTTTCCTAGTGTTCTTGGCAATCAATCAACATTGAAAACTCACAAAAAATCTAATTTATTTATTTAACTAATACTTAACACTTGTTCTAAACGACTTGTTTCTTAACATAGTTATGTGTTTACTTTAATAAAGTTTATTTTGTAATTAGTTGGAATATCTGTCTTGAAATGGAAAGCGTATTAAAAATAAACGCTTAAGTAAATTGTATGACTGCCCGGAGAGATGATGAGATAGCAATTTTGCAGCTACTTACAATCGGCAGTGAGCAATTGAAGCCCAGTGTTTGAGCGGAGCTCTGCAGCAGAGTGCCAGCGATAGCCCCGGGGTCGCCTTTTGTTTTCCGAGAACTGTGGAGCGGCTTGGGTTAAATGGGGATGGCGATTAGCTCATCAAAACAACTGGGGCCCGCCAGTCGATCTTTGCACTTATAACGATGCACAACGCGGTGCAGATCCTCTGTGTTTGGCTTGTAGGCCAGCCAATAATTGGCCTCGCGTGGGCGGCCTCCATCGGCCAGGATGACCTCAACCAGGACACTCCCTACAACAGGGAGCTGCTCCGACAGGCCAAGGTAGCTGAGATTGAGAGCTTCATGGACCAGAAGGCCGATCCATGCGACGACTTCTACACCTTTGCCTGCGGCAACTACAAACGCATCAACTCGGCCTTTAGCATGGAGGTAATCACGACCGGCGTGTTTGAGACTCTGACCAAGGGCCTGAACCGCAAGATCCTGAAGATGCTCAACACGGCGCACGACATCCACGACACGCCGGAGGACATTCAGGTGAAGCACTTCTACGAGTCCTGCCTCCGGATCAAGGAGCTCAACGGCACGTACTCAGGAAAGCTGAAGCGGCTGATCGCCGAGTTCGGAACGATGCCGGTGCTCGAAGGGTCCTCCTGGCAGGAGGAGGAATTCGACTGGCTGGGGACCACGGCACGCATCGCGTTCCGCTACGGAATAGCGCCCATTCTGGGCATTGAGGTCAACAAGGACCTGGCCAGCAACCAGAGGAATCGGATCTACCTCGGGCAGCAAGAGTTTCCGCTCGAGTCGAGGTCCATGTACGTGGACAATGCCACGGCCATGTACCGTCAGAGATACCGGAGCAGCATCCAACGCATCTTGCAGCGATCCTTGGGCGTGAAGTCTGAACTGGCGAGGCAGACGGCCAAGGAGCTGGTCGACTTCGAGGTGGACCTTGCCCAAGGACTGGTGGACGACAGCGAAGGCCTGGACCTCAGTGAACTGACCGAGCTGCTGACAGTGCGGGAGATTCAAGAGCGATACTCGCCCACTCTGGACATCGACCGACTGGTATTTGTGAGCATGGGAGAGCGCGTTTCCGATCAAATCTACGAGTACAACCAACGCTATCAGCGAAACCTGGTCGACGTCATCCAGCGCACACCACTGCGCACCGTAGCCAACTATATGTTCTACCGGCTAATCTGGGAGTTCGTGGAGACGCCAGCCGACAAGCCGGAGAAGCAGCAAAAGGTCTGCTTGGACCTCACCAAAAAGTTCTTTGCCAAGAACCTAGACAACATGTTCTACCGTCGCTACAACAACGAGAAGTCCTCGAGAGAAATCGACAGCATGTGGCGCCAGCTGAAAGCCACCTTTAATGAGACACTGCACACGAGTCCGGCACTGGACTGGATCGAGCGACCCACCAGGAATTTGGCCATCGCCAAGCTGCAGGCCATGAGGCTGCAGGTGAACAACTACGCTGAGGATAACTTCACGGAGGAGTTCGCGGATCTCAACCTGCAGAGTGCCGACTACGTGGAGAACGTGCGGCAGACCAGTCTGCTTGCGGCCAAACAGATGCGCGAGATGCTCCACAAGCCGGCCAAGCCGTTCGAGGCGGGCTCCCAGCTGAGCTACACCCCGGCCAACATACTGATAGAGAACATCATCAAGGTGCCGGTGGCGCTGCTGCAGCCCTTCTACATTTGGTCCGACGTCTATCCCAGTGCGGTGATGTTCGGCACCCTGGCCTCGCTGATTGGTCATGAGCTGATCCACGGCTTCGACGACAGTGGACGGAAGTTCGATGCCAAGGGAAACGCCTACGACTGGTGGGACGAGAAGTCCAGCGGCAATTTTCTGAAGCGCAGGGACTGCTTCACGAAGCAGTATGGGCGGTATGTCTACGATGGCATTCAGCTGAAGGAGTCCGCCGCGCAGTCGGAGAACATTGCGGACAATGGGGGCCTACGGCTGGCCTTCACCGCCTACCGGAAGTGGTTCGAGTCCCAGTCGGACCTGGCCAAGGAGAGACTGCCCAGCCTGCGGTACACTGCAAAGCAGATCTTCTTCATCAGCTTCGCTCAGATCTGGTGCAACGATGCGCATCCGAGTGTCAAGGCCCTGCAAGTGTCCACCGACCAGCACATGCCGGGAAAGTTCCGCGTCATTGGCTCAGTATCGAACTTTGACGAGTTCGCGAAAGAGTTCAACTGTCCAGCCGGATCCGCCATGAATCCAAACGAGAAGTGCATACTCTACTAGAAGGGAAAACGCATTATCTGCTTGTCAATCGTGATCTACATTTTTGTTTAGTTTTGTTGCTTAATCGTCAGCTAATAAATCTCTTCAAATTTCTATTACTATAGGTTTCTCAAGTGGATACTAAGATTATATTAAATATTTTTTGATAATGAAAAATAACTAAAAACTTTTATTTTAAATAAGAACCCTTGCCTCTAAAATATAATAATATATATAACGTAGACTGCTGCTCAACTTTCTTGTTCACTCAGCTTGCAAATAAACAATGCCAAAAAGTCAAAGGTGTGGCCTTCGCTAATTTGGTGCCGATCAAAAATAACATATCCATAGTTGCCCACTTTCTTATGCATGTCCAAGCCAACCTCAGTCAAGGCTCATTACAAATGCCGACCTAATCTATTTACGTGCCACCACTTGGCTTTGACCGTGATTGTTACGAGCAGCGAGCAACGAGCAGAGAGACGCGGTCGGATCGATAAGTGAACCACTGGTGACAGGTGGGCGGAAGAGGAAGCAAATGGGGTAGTGGCACTCACCGTGTGTCAGTATGTTGATGGTCTCGTTGTGCCAGTAGAAGAGACTGAGCAGGCATCCCTTGAAGGTCTGCAGGGGTCGGTATCCCCGGAGCACGTACGGATTGAACTGCAGATACGTGGGCATTTCCTGCCAGGGCAACAGTTGGACCACATTCTCGCCGGAACCAGATCCGGAGCTACTGCTGGAGCTGGGCACTGATGGAGGAGCTGCAGCTGGTGGATGCTCCGTTGCTGCGCCTACCGATCCCAATCCCACTCCCAATCCCGATCCCGGCAAGGCAGACGTTGGCGTTGTAGAAGCTTTGGCGGAAGACGTTGATGTGGTGGTGGGCAGATCCGGCTGAGTGGGTTCAGTTGCTGACGACGCGGTTTCGGGCGCCTCCTTGCCCTTCAGACCGTTCTTGGCGTGAGCCTCGGCCTGGGCACTGGGAACACCTGATTCGACGGCGCCATCACAGGCGCGCGATGGCGGCGTGGGTGGCGGCGTCAGCGACATGGTCTCCACGGTGCTGCCCAGGCAATCGCAGCCACTAGCTCCTCCTCCTCCTCCTCCTCCTCCTCCGCCTCCGGGTCCGGGTCCAATCCTGGACTTTGTCGAACTGCCGAGGAGCTGCTGATCGGGTTTCAGGTCAACGGCGACTGCAGCGGCGGCGGCGGCAGCGGTGTCCATGCCTTGCTAATCCCTTTGATCGTTTGCGAAATCGGTTCCAGTTCCAGTTCAAGTTCGAGTTCGAGTTCCGGTTCCAATTCCGATTGCGTGGCCCGTTTCCGGTTTGGGGTTCCTAGCCAGCCAGCAGCAGCGGAACCAGCTGAAAGCGAAAGCGAACGGCAACGTCATGAATTATGGATCGTCTACATGCGGCGGCCAAAATGTTACGTATTTGTTGGCCAAAAAAAGCACGTGCTGGTGTGTGCGAAAGGGAAAACGAAAACGAGGCCAGGACAATGTCAACACACACACACACACTCACTCTCACACTCGCACAGCAGCCTCGTGACCCAAAATGGCCTGCGCCATTTTGCCAATGTGTGGGTGTGTCTGTGTGTGTGTAATTGAATATTCCATGCGAATCACGCGAGTCTCGGATTAGGCCACAAATACCATCTCCCGGGCCCGGGAAAAAATCAATAAAAATACTCACTTCTGCCATGGGACGCGCACACAATTGTGAAAGCGAATCCGAATCCGCCTGCCAAAACTTTGAGGACTACGGACTTGTCCTGGTCTGAAGTCCTGGACCGATGCTATGAGCAGTGTTTTCCACTCGAAGTGCAGCTATTACATGGGCAGGGCATACTACGTTTTCTCGCAATTATTAATCCATTCGAACGGCTGCAATTTGCGTTCTTTGGCGGATGAAGTGGAGAGTTTGTCTCGGATAGATGGACACTTTTTCCAGCTATAAAACGCGGGAAGCGGAGTCGGGGGAATCCGCGTACACGACCGTTGGGACAGGCACGTCAGTATCTGACTGAGCGTGGGCACACACGATAACGATACCGTTATTTTCCTTGCGTATTTGTTATGCAATTGAATGAATTGGACCCCGTATTATTATTGGGCGCCAAAGCAGCGCAAGCGCAGTTCTGTACACGAGGCAGTCAGCTGTTTTACTTTGCTTTCAATCAAAGAAATAAAGCTACATATGTTAGAATGAAATTAAGGCAATATATATAAATATGTTAATGGGGTCAATTACTGACTTTTGAATTTTAGGCTCCAAAAATAATTAATAAGCGGTTTCCATATATTTAATCATAAGAGCTACACCATAAATTATAGTGCCTATAATAGTAAAAGATTTTTCTTTATTATCTAACAAATTATTTAAATTAATACCGTTTTAGATTTCTTGCTTATTTTTAACTTTTCATTTGACATTAGCCGCGCATGTTGCTTTATCATTTGAGCACACACACCTACCAACACTGTTTTAGTGGAGACACCAACATCGTCTATCGATAGTTAGCGGGCTTTTACTCCGCACTTAGTGGAGACGTACACCAAGGGCTTAGCTTACTGTTAACTTTACTCTCGAGTTCTTGCATACTGTTAGTCTCATTTAATGGGAACCTGGTTTTGAATCTTTTAAACTAACAATAGTTTTAAGTTATAAGACTAATTACGAAAATTATTTTTAAGCTTTAAAAGGATATAAATATAAAGCTTCATTATTAATACAGTAATCAAATATTTAATATGAGAAATAATGAATTATTAAACTTTTAGGTTTCCTCTTAAAATATTTTCGTTGTTTTTAGAACTAAAATTTACATATTTTTCATGAGTGGTGTTAAATAATGAGCAGATGTTAAGAAGTTAAAGAGAAAGAGTGCAAGAAATGGTGTGGAGCCAGGCTAAGTGTGCAACAACTGGAGTGGAAAGTTAACAGCATGAAATATCGTACGATAAAACATCGTTAGAGATGGAAGAAAATCGATGATTCCATCAACAATCGATAAGATGGATTTTTAAAACATCGATGGTATCGGTTGTGTTATCGGTGTTTCCCCGCCTCCCGCTCTTTGACGCGCTTCGCTAAATGCAATTCAATTTTAATCCGTTGCAATTTCACGCGTATTAATTACAAAGTTAAATAGCAGGCTACTAACAAAAGGTAGCCAAACCAAATGGCGAACGCCAGGCGGGTTTTTGAGTCGGCGGGAAGCTGTTAGAGATGGATTACGCGCAAAAAGCGTAAAAAGGCGCCAAAGAAGTAGTGAAAAAATTACAAAGAGGCGACAAACCGCGATTAAAGATTAATATAAGGCCACAACTACCCACTTTTAAGGACAAACTCATGCACAACTCCTGGCAATCGCTAACGCAACTTTTGAGCGGTCTGTGGCAGCGCTTGTATTTGCCTCGTTCGCCGTTTCTAGCCCTGCCAGCGCCGCCCCTGGCCACGCCCCCAGCCAATACTACGCAGCAACACGCAAACGAAGAGGTAAGGCAGCTGAAATCCAAAAACAAGATATGAAAAGGCTTAGTAAGATAGTGGAAAAGCGAAAGACAAGATATCTAAAAATGCTACCTGTCCACTGATTTGAGGCACGCATACAGGCGCAGACTCGAGCGTGAGTGTGAACAGCTGACTCGCAGCACGCCGCGTTGCCAGAGTTGTTGACCCACGCCAACAGAAAACAAAACAAACAAAAATCGCTTAGTTATTACAGCTACAATCAATTGATCAACTAAACTGCTGTTAAATATCCCTGAAGTAAACAAAATCTAAAATTAATTTTTAAAGCACTTTTCTTAAATTCCTTCATTCGTATATAAAAAGAAAACGCTTTTCTACACTAATTAGATCTACACCACTTTTCAACTTGAAACCAATTTTATTTTTTTGCAAAAATAATTAATTTTTTAAATGTTCTTTTGTGTTGTATAAACATATTCTTATTATTTGTCAGCTTTAAAATGTTCGAGAAGATATTTAGCGATTTATTCGTTTATTTTACTATCATAGAAAACACAAAAGTTAAATCAAATATTTTTTGTACTGCCTATTTTAAAAATTGCGCAAAACGTGTTGTGTGGGGAAGTTTTTTCGCCAACTCGACAACTCTTTTGCAGCAGCACTTTTCAACACTGTTGACAAAAAGTACCCAACACTGCCTCACAGACGTGGTGAATTAAATACCAAGTGACGTGAATTGTGGGAAAAAAACACGATTTCCAACGCAAATGCACAAAACTTAGAGTGATCTATAAGCCCAGGACGTGCTTACAACTACAAAGTATAGCCAGGACTTGCAGGTCAACAACTGCGTCTTTTGCGAAAGCAGCAGGCACAAAAGCAACAACAAAAACGGAGACGCTTTGGACGGGCAACAAGAATATCAAAGCAAAGTCAGCGGAGCGCAGCCTACAACAAAAATCAATTTTCGCGCTCGTGAAAAAAATCAACAGCAAATTGCAAGGTAGATAGATGGCCTGATTGTTGGCAAATTAAAATGCGAAAGTTTGTGGTTTTAGGTTTTTATTTGTGGTCTGTTTTTCCAACTCACCAATACATATGCAAAAGGCATTGCAATTTGGTTAGGCTGCCGCGTGTGTGCGAGTGTGCGTGCCAGCTGTATTCCGTACTGTACTCACCTCTGGGTGGGAACAGAGTGCAGTTGGGTTGTGGTAGGGGGTGTTCCCAGTGCTCACAACACCGTTCCCTTATATTTCATAAATTTATATGAATGTATCTAATAGCGTCTAAGCATTATAACTCTCCCAGGTGCGCGGAATGCACCAACTGACTGACAATTTCTGTATACTATTTTTCAGATGCCCAGAACACGGAGACTCCACCACTCAAGGGATCGCTCCTCGGCGGGCACGCGAGACAAGCGCCGACGACACGATACTGCCGATCATTCGCCACCCCTAGCTGAGGCCCCATCGCCGTAAGTTCTTCGTCTAATATTCTCCGATATTCGCGGGTTGCTCTTCGAGCTGTGTGAGGAATTACTCACCCGTCTCGCAGCACACGGCATCTCGGTACTCATCGTATCCATTGTTTCCATTGCCCACAGGCCGCGCATCACCAACACACATCACACCAGATCGGCGGCCAAGCGAAGGCGACACGAGCTCGATGCCAAGAAGGCCCAGATAACCAAGGAGCCCACGTAAGTTAATCGGATGGATGTATTGAACATACCCTGTCCATGGGTCAGGGTGGAAAATCGATTATGTTCACCCAAAGTCCCATATGTTTTAATAACAATAAGAACAAACAATTTCGGAGGAATGGATTTAAATTTGACATTGATTTCTATAAATAACATCTTGTTTTTGCCGAAGGATTTTATTACCCTTTGTGTAAACTTTCGCGCGCATCGTTTTCTTAGCCTAATTCCGAATGAATCAATTTGGGTTGGCATTTTTTTTTTTTTGATAATTTGTACCGTATTTTCGAAGACTACATCTAGTTCTGTTCTTGGTCTAAAGATTTAATTAGAATTCGAGTTTTTAACCGAAAGGATGCTTTAACCATTGCGAATTTTTGATTGAACAAATCTAAACCTTTGAAAGGGAAAATAATTTGATCACATTAGGTTACTCTTTGCCCCTGTGACTCACACGCTTGAAATGAACTTTGCGAAATAACAGGGTTTGTGGGCTTTGAAATGTATAAACTAGTTCTTTAGGTATCTCTTATGAGACGGGATCAAATCATTTATTCAATTGAAAATGAAAAACCTTCACATCGCATGAATTTTATTGATTCCCATCAGATCAGATGATACTGAAATCGTACACTTTTGTAACGGAATATCAAGTTACTATAATTTTCTCTGAATCTGCTGCTATGTAATCTTCCGTTTCTGTTAAAGAGGAAGTATTAACCTGAGTGTGGAGTTATGGGCCCGCATCGACATCTTCCTTAACAATAACGTATTAAACTATATGTTTCTAGGTGTGAATGAGGAAATATCCCCGTGATGACAAGAGTCTTGTTCATGTAATCTGGCTCTGCCTACTGATCCACGGGTATTTCCCCAGCTGTCGGAGCTGTGGCAGACAGAGTGTCCTGCCCACGCAGCTTTCTGTGCTCCTTGGGACTCGCTTTCTTTCAATGGCTTGTAAACGATCGTGTATTTAATGGTCCATGGCTCCATAAAGAAGTGCCGCTCGAGCAGCAGGAGCAGCCAGAAAGACAAATTAACGTTTCGCCATATATGGCAAGTGAAATCTTCGCTGGTTCCTGCAAGTGAAGAGTCATCCTCTTCAGTTGGTTTACTGTAAATTAATGCGGACTCAGCGATTTCTTTGTGTGTTGACCCCCTTCGGGAGGCCGGTGAACGTGGGCGACGAATCTGGCTGATCCTGGCGGGTTGTCCCCTGCATTTCCTTGCCTTAATTTATGCGCCTGCGTATTTAAAGCGTATTTGCATATTACTCAAAACAACGGACAACTTGAGGCGCGACGTTGTCGCATTTATTATTGTTTAATACACTTGGCGTGGCCTTTTTAGGCAGTTGCAGCAAGAGCATCTTGGGGAGTTGGCTTAATCAGAGTCGCATTTTGTAATTTATATGCCACTAGCAGCGACCGCTTTCTTTGTCGATAAAGTGACGTTTTCATGCCCGCCACTGCTGCTGTCATTGTTTATTAACCTTTTGCATTTGCCATAAAACACGTTGGCTAAGTGTTCATGAACCACAACAACAGCAGCATCAGCAGCAGCAGATTAATCGACCTGTCCCGGCTCATTACTCAAATGCTGGTGACATCTTGCAACGCGGAAGTGGCCGAAAAACGCAGCCCAAATATGAATATCAAACGAAAAGATAAGGAATAGTATTCTCAATTGTCGGCTGCTCGCATTTCCGCTATCCTCTTGTTTTATTGCCGTTGATCGTTTTCAATTTCAATCATTTTTTATTTAAATTACAAGCCATCAATTGGGTGCACGCATGGTGCGGCGAATTCGCGGCGTTCGCCCGATCGTTCGCTCGATCGTCTGTAATAAACTGGAAATGCGAGCAGCGAGCTGCGAAGTCGAGCGGTAGAGGCAGCGGCGGTACAAAGCAGCGGCCACGGCAGCAGCCAACCGACACTTGTTCGCTACCAACTTGTCGCTCGATTGCTCAGTCGCAACGACAACTCGAAAGCGAATGGAGGTGCTGGCTTCTTCGCTCGTCGC